TTATTTTATGAATTTAATATTAATAAAATATTTTAATATCATTTTCATCAAAATATTAATTATTAAAATATTTAAAATATATTTATTAATATTTATAATAAATAATCAATTATATTATAATAATATAAGATATTATATTTTTATTTTAATAATATATAATAAATTTTTTATATTTTTAATAATGAATAATATTATTTATATATTTTAATAATTTTTTAATAAAGATATTTAAAATATACTAATTAATATTTTTAAAATATAATATAACACTATTACTTTAATAAATAATTAATATAATTTATAATATTTTATTTCACTAAAATATACCGATATTAAGATTTTGTTAATAAAATTATAAAAATAATATTTAATAATAAATTATTTTAATATTTTAAAAATAATAATATTAAGTTTTATGATAAATAATATTATTTATTATATTTAATATTTGTAATAAATAATTTTTAAAAAACTCTTCAACTAGTGAAAAAAATGTTTAAATAACATCTTCCTAACATCATAAAACGTTTTTCAGAAAAATATAATTCATTTTCCGGAAAATATTTTCCGGAAAACGTTTTTCATATAATTCATTTTTCAGAATTCAAATTTCAGTAATTCATTTTCCAATAATTCAAATTATAGTAATTTATTTTTCGAAAAATCAATTACAGCAAAACAAACAGACTCTATAATCCATCTTTAGAGTAATAGATCTATTAAAATTCTTGTTTGTCGTGTAAAATAACGAGGATCTCATATCTTTGTTTTCTTGGTTTTGGAGTTTGTTCATTGGAAAATGTGGTTTTGATTACTTTAATGGATGAATCCAACATACCTTGATATTTAGAGGGTTTAGGTGAAGAGAGGAATAAAGGGGATACAAATAAGGTCGCGTTGGTTGGATGAAATTGGGGAGAATTAGAATCTAATTTCACAATTTTCTCATATTTAGTTCGAATTTTCAAGTGAATTGGAATCCTTCATGGTTTCAATTTTTCATCAAATGAGGGAAAGTGAATTCCATCTAGGGATGGCAACGGGCCGGGTTCGGGTCGAGTATTGGTCCCCCCGTCCCTGTCTCCGTTTAAAAAAACTCGTACCCGTCCCCGCTTATAAAACCGCAGGGATTTAAACGGGGATCCCCATCAGGTAATCAGGGAAAACCGCAGGGAAACGGGTATTCCCGTTTAGTATAAACGGTTATTTAAACGGGTATCGGGTCGGGTATATATATTTAAATTAAATATATAAATATTATTATATATATATATTTTAATTTAAATTAAATTTATTAATATTATATATATAATAATTATTTTTAATATTTATCGGGTCAGGTATCAGGCCGGGTATCGGGTCAGGTAATCGGGGTGGGGATTACTAAACCCGTCCCCGTTTAACATAAACAGGTTTTCCCCGTCCCCGTCCCCGTTTAGCATAAACAGTTTTTCCCCGTCCCCGTTTAATTCGATTTTCCCCGTTGAGTTCGAGTTTTTTTGCCATCCCTAATTCCATCCAAGAATAGATAGAATTCAATTCCCTTGTTGTAAGGAATTGAAATTTGACCATTATACCCTCATAAATCTTTTGGTAACTTATTCATATATTGAATAAAAATATTTTTTTATTATTTTGGGTCGGGTCGGGTTTCTAATTCATATATTCGGGTCGGGTGAAACTTTATTTTGGTCGGGTCGGTCGGATTTTTTAAGTGTGATATTCGGGTCGGGTAGAGTTCGGGTTTAGGGTGAAAAATACCCAACCCGAAAATATATATAATTTTACCTTATATATTTAGGAATAATTACAATAATACACCTCTCTATATATTTTTTCGATTAAGTCACTGTTTTTATTGAATAAAAATATTTTTTTATTATTTCGGGTCGGGTCGGGTGAAACTTTATTTTGTTCGGGCCGGGTCGGATTTTTTAAGTGTGATATTCGGGTCGAGCCGAGTCAGGTTTTTTAAAGTGTGATATTCGGATCGGGTCGGGTTCGAGTTTAGGGTAAAAAAACCGGACCGAACCGAAAAAAAATATATAATTTTACCTTATATATTTAGGAATAATTACAATAATACCCCTCTATATATAATTTTTTCCCAATTATGTTAATATTTTTATTGAATAAAAAAATATATTTTTTATTTTGTGTCGTGTCAGGTCGGGTTTCTAATTCATATATTAAATAAAAATAGTTTTTGGTATATTTTTGGGTAACTAATTAACATACTCCGATTGGAATGTATCAAAATATTGTTCTATCTTTTGTTAACTTATTAACATATTTTGATTGCGATGATTTTAACTTATGATGTTTATTAGCATGATTTTTATAATTTATTGAAATAAATAATCAATCAATAAAATGAAATTTCAATATTTTTTTAATTTTTTATAATATATTACTACATGTAAGTTGTAAAACAAACTAAAATAAAGCAAAAAAATAAGAAGGACAATTCTGTCATTTTACATTACTGAAATCAAATTCATCTAACATGTCTACGAACCAAACAGAATATGGAATTGGATTCCAATTCCATTTCCTGCCAACCAAACAGAATATAAAATTGGATTCTAATTCCTGACAGATTCTAATTCATTCATAGATTTCAATTCTCTCATAAACATTCCAGCGAACCAAAAGCCAAGAATCGTTGCTGAGGAAAAATGAAGATGGAAAATATCAAGATTTTGTTTAAATATTTGATTACTTATTTTGAATTAAGATTTAATTGACATAATATATAAATTTTAGGACTAAAATTATTATTATATTAAGACATTATTATCTTTGTCAATTTTAATAAACAATGATTAAAATAAAATATTAAATTTTATTAAGACGAAGAGTATATATTTGTATCCATAGATAAAATTTATCCCTGAATAGATTAAGGTAGTTTAGTTTTTATTGATATATTATAAGAGACGTGGTAATTCATAATGTTTTAAAAAATGTTAAATAAAGATTTCTATCGATGATTTTTATTAACCATTAAAAGTCTAGACAAGGATGCTTAAGGAAGAGGGGAAATCGCTTTCTAAATTAGAAGAGATAAGAATTTTTTTTTTTTGTTCCCAACGTTGAACATGACATAATGCAATTAAAAAAAGGAACAATCTTCTCCTGACACGTTTTATATAAATTTTGATGGTCTAACTCTTCTTCTAACAAGTTCTATTATATATAATTTTAAAAAAATAAAGTTTAGATATTTAAATATTAAACGTATAATTTATCCGAGAAAATATAAATAAAGTAGTCCATGTTCTCAAAATTATATAGGTGGGGTACTATTAGAGGCATAACGAGGGGAGCATCGGAATTCCATTCGATATTTGGTCTAAATTTGATCAATTTTAATTGGATTTTATGAAATTATTTTAAAAAATAAGTTTAAATTAAGTTTTGTAAAGTATGATATTAATAAGATTTCTATTTAAGGCAGAAATTTTTTTATTCATTCTAATGTGAGAAAATAGTATAATTTTTATTTATATATTCAGAGATAATTATTATAAAATCTATTTTCTATATTTTTTAATATATATATATATATATATATAAATATTTATGTTTAAATAAATCAAATCAGATTATTACCATAAGTTTTAAATTGGGTAAAAAAATTAAACTCAAGTTAAATCAAATATCTAATAAAAGATATAATATTTAAATGAAGCAAAAATTCAACTCAATATCACTGACTACTATCCTAATGTTGACAGTAACACTCTTGAAGCGCAGGTGATTGTAATTAAACTTCCAAGAAATCACCAAATTTACAGCTCTTTACAGCAACATAGCTAGCTGTCATCAGACCATCAAAACTATCAATATCAGCATGTGCTCTTGATTCTTGAAGCTATCAACCCAGCTGGTCTCTTGAAGCTACTACCTACCCAAGTTTTGGAGCCACCACATGTCATATACTCTCGGATCACATAAAAATGTTACAATAAAATTTTATAATTTTATATATTCTCTCTTGATTTGCTCGTTATAATATTGTTTTTTTCATATACTCAATTCTGATTTATAATTATTAGTAATTTTTTAATTGTTTGATAAACATGGTTCATTTATTAATACAATTAGATATATTTTTATATATTTTTATTCGACTTATTTAGATTATTTTTTTAATATTTTCTTCGTATAATTCTTGTATGATCTCAAATAATTAACTTTTTGTGTTAATATTTATAATAAAATATTTTAATTATGTGTTTAATTTATATTTATGATCGTAAACATTTATTATGATTTTAGATATTTTTTAAATAAAATTAACTACTTTTTTTCTTTATAAAAAATCATTTGCAAATATGCTGATGAAAACAAATCTTTATTTTTTAATATTTTAATAAATTTTCAGTTGGAATTATAAAATAACTATACCAATATGAATTCACATAAAAAAAATGGTTTTAGATCAGTTGGAATATGTATCGTTGAAGTTGGGATTCTCTATTTTAAATTTAGAAATGTCTTAACCTTTTTCTCAGTAATATCTCGACTAGAGTCCTCAATAATATTGATTATGGTGTAACCTTAAAACTTATTTTCATAATTTTTCAAAATAATTAATTATAATTATGTTGACAATTAATATCATTCATATAACTACAATTATTATTATTATAATAAATTATTAAAGTAATTTGTCATAATAATGCTAGAGAGAGCGTGCCATTAATGTAATTTACATAAAAATATGAGGGTTAGATTTGGAAATAAAAGGGAAACAGCAAGATTTATGTCGCTCACGTACAAATACAGCTCTGTTTCCAACAAGGCGCCACTCGCTCGCATGTTGCTGACCTTAAGTTCTCACTAGAAACCAAACCGAAGCCTGTTTTTCTCCATACCTTTCCGCGTATGGATCGAACGTTCAAACATGAATTGCACGCATATAAAATCACCCAACTTTGCACTTCTCTCTCACTCAAACTGCAAATCAGAAGCTCTTAGCCACCATTAAATTCAAAAAAAAGAAAAGAAAAATCCCATCTTAGCTGCAAATTATGAAGCTGGCGAAAATGGTGAATAAGCACAATGGCGTTGCCGAAAGAGCATGGAGTTTCCTCCGTGTAGCACTGATACGGACGATAAAAAATGGGGTTTTCAAAAGACGGGTTAAGTTCCTCAAAGGCATTGGACATTATGTAAAAGCTCCTCGTAATGATGAAATCAGCTATTATAAGGAACGTCAGCTTTCCTTCGATGAAACTCCTATTTTCCACGTCAAGATGCACCGCTCAGCCGTGGGTTCTTCCATGCGCTTCCTTCTCCCTTGCATTAGCGTCGAGGAAGTCGATTTCGACTGCGATTTCGGAATCGACGATGACTGTGGTGAAGATTACGGGCACGAATACGATGGTGGAAGGAAGGTTGACTCAACAGTGCTCTCTGATCAGCTGGCTGAGGCTGCGGCGGCGGAGAAAGAACAAAGGGAAGAGAAAGGGTGTGAAGAAGGGATCGATTCGAAGGCGGAGAAGTTCATAGATCAATTTTATGAGCAAATGAAGTTGCAGAGACAGATTTCTTATTTGGAATACACTGAAATGCTAAACAGAGGCGCCTCTTGAAGCTTGTGGTCTTCGGCACAAATCTATCTTCGTTCACAATTTCTTTTTGGAGACGCGGCCTTTTTTCTTTTGTACATAACGAGGTTTTTATACTTTATAGTATGAATAATTTGATTATGTTCATCCATTATCATATAACGTCAAAAATAATACTTTTGTAATAATACTATTTATTTATTTATTTATCAATTTTACTTTGAGAGACGAACTTTATTTGAACCATCCCTTCTATTTTTATGCATTAATACTTATGCATCGTGTCTTCAAATTTTAATTCAAATTTCAACATCAATGGATAAAAATCAAGTCCTCGTAACTTACTTCCATCGTGTGATCTAAAACATCAGCTTCGTTTCATCGTTTGTCATCAATTTCATCAAACCACTATTACATTCAAATCTTCATTATATAACCTACAAGCAGTTTCCCATGATAAAATCCAAGTCTATCGTTCACAGTAGTGTAATTCAAACCCAACAATGATCTAAATAAGGATCAACAAGAAATAAATCTAAATAAAAAGAGAAAATGATGAAAGAGTAGAGGAAGAAAAAAACCCATCTTCTTTAGTTTATGGAGAATTTCAGGTTACAATGTTTTTTTTTATAAGATTCAAACAACCAATTGACAACGAAGATGAAAAAAAAAAACGACACAATTCAAATTCAAATTGATCCGATGGTCACCAACAAAGATTAGTTTGAGACTTAGGTTTTACATATGAAAAACCTAAATTGACAAAAAGAGAGAGGGAGTGAAGAAAAGTTTAATATCATTATTGATCGAAAAATGACGAAGATAAACGATCGACGATAAAGATTTGTTCAATATCTTATTCGAATTTTTCATTTATAAGTAAAAAATGATTATGTTTTTACAAACCAATTACGACGACAATAACAACAATGCATTTTTCATTCTTTTCTTCTTCTTCTCCAAGCTTTATGACTCTTTGGTCTATTCTGAAAAAATTAGGATACTTTTTAAACAAAAGAGTTAAAAAAATAAAAAGTTAAATTATTTTTTAATAAAATTAAATATGTGAAAAATATAAAAAATAAAATAATTAATTAATGTGCCGTGTCAGATTTTGTGATATGGGTAATGAATGTAACTGTTGAGGGATTGTTTTGTTACAAATAAAAAATACTAGTGATCATTTTATAATTTTTCAAACTTCAATGATGGAAAAAGAAGTATACCCAAATTGTAGTGTCTGCTTCTGTAATATACCCTAAGCTTGATTGAGTATATTTTTTATATGAAATATACCCAAATGCAATTTCACATTCCTCAAATAAAATAAATTCTATAATAGATATAAAATTCATATGTTCATCAACAACTAGCTAATCTAGTTGGATGATATACTAGATCTCTTAAAAAAAAATTAAGAGTTCAAATATTGATGCTTGTGAATAGAGCATACGAAGTTGAAAAAATCAACTTCACCTCTACATTATACAAAATGAATTAATCAATAAAAAAATTAGATACATGTGGTTATGCCCAAAATAAATAAATAAATATATATATATATATATATATTCACATGTTCATTGATTGGAACTTGGTTGGCTGCTAACCTGTGAACACATAAAATAAATAGCAAGTCCCATCCTTTTGAAATTCAAAAACAGCGGGATAGCCGTTAGGGTTTAGATAGCGAGAGTAGATGATGACAGGAAGTGGAAACAAGGGCCGCTCTGTTTTCTCATGGGCCGATGAGGTCGAGAAAGAAGAACAAGAAGCAGCCGCCATTGCGGCTGCAGCAACCGACCAAGCACAACAGCAACAAAGGCAGAAGAAACCAAACCCTTTTGGATCTGCAAGGCCCAGAGAAGTTGTTCTCCAAGACAAAGGGATTGATTGGAGACAACTCGATCCCCATCTTCAACCACCCTCTCCTTCACTGTATGCTGTTTCACCCCTTTTGTCTTTCTTATTTGCAAAAGAATCGTAGTTTAAAGTTAGAAGAAGAGGTTATAGATGCGGGGATTGAAATTTTCAAATTGGGTTCATCTCACTTGCATTTGAGAATCTCCTCTTAAATTTTAATGGCATTAGCAAAGCATTTCCCCCTCCCCCCCGAAGAATATCAAGTGATTAATTCTTTACAAAATACAATGGATGTTGTTTGTAATAGATTTGTTTTTGAATTGATATTACCTGGAATGAATTCCATCAGAATGAGAAGCTGCAGAGACAAAGTAGCCCCCAGATTCAGAGTCCGATATTGTGTGCTACTACACTGAGATATCCACCAAAGTATGTCGCCGGCATTCTCTACGAGCATTGGGTGTCAATCACTCCGCATGCATCGCATCATCAGCATTGTAGGATCAAGAAAGGGAATATATCTCCAGGAGGAGGAAAGCGCGAGATCAGAATGAGAAGAACAAGAAATGAATTTGTTGAAGCTAAGCACGCACAACAGGGGAAATTTTTGGAAGGAAAGGAAAATTTTCATGGCATGAATTCCCTTGGTTTGACTCTGGTAAACCAAAATATTGGAGACCCTGAAATGCGCGGTAACAAGATGTCGTTGTCGGCCAATGGGATCAGGAGGCAACCTACGAACATACGAGATTCGGGCATGGACAAAATTGGCAGGACGACGAAACAAAAATGGCAGGACAACGAAACAAAAATGGCAAAAGGTCACCAACAAGCGCCAAGATTTGACCATAAAGCAGGTAAACAATGGCGTTCATCAAAAGAATTTTGACAAGTTACAGGAATAACTATAGTGTTATTGAAATCCATGATGGACCCACAGTCGATTTTCTCAGTCTTAATTAGATATATTCAATGGCTCTATAGTGTATTGAAAATTCATGATGGACAAGTCTTTTTATCAACAAGTATGTATCATTTTTGTTTTAAAATCAGCTTCACTTTTGATGAAACGACACTCCTATAACTTGCTGTAATTAAAGTTTTTTATTATGTTGAGGCTAACCGAAAGCGGAAAATTCTCATCATCGAGTAAAGGGCACATATAAGAAGAAATGCCAAATTTAAAGGACTGCTCTAGCTAGTAAGCGCTTTAATTCATATCTATGCCTAGCCATTGTTCGAAAATCACACCAAGAACCAAAAACTTGAGTAGATCCCGGCACTGGTATGCAAAATCAGTCCTCGGAAACATGGCTAAAACTTGGGCCGCCCGCCAGTGCATATGGTGATCTCAGAAGTTTATATAAATGTTGATAGGATATTCTTCTTGAGAGTGAATTCATCTGCTTTAGCTGGGCTGATAGACTGCATCAGAAACAAATAACTCAGGGTTACGGACAGCACATGTAACAGATGCTTGTAATTACATTTTAACCACCCTACAGGTTAGGGCCATCACGACTAAGGAATATACTTTTGTTTATTACAGTAAACATCATAGGAATGGACGCGTTAATTTCAGGGCGCCATCCTATTAATTACTGTAATCATCGAACCACCAAAACATAAATTTACTCCAAGTTTCATCAGCAATCCTTACCTTGTCTAGCATGCGCTGCAGCCGCTCGCTTTCCTTCTTGGGATAATCAGCACCTTTCTCCAAACAGCTTTCAAGTATATCTTTCCATACCTGGCAACCAGCAACAGGGAAACTAAGACATGGAACAGTTCTTTGATATAAAGAAAATTTAAACAGGAAACTATGAATTGGCAAGTCCATCGGAGAAGACTCGAGAGAAATTGAATACCTCTCAGTGGAACCCTTAAGCTTCTCAGCTTCCCCTTCAATCTTCGAGAAGACTGCTTTTTTCTCTTCATTTCCGGCAGCCACAAAATCCTTCACATGTGCATCTAAACTAGACAAAATGCCAGCCTAAGCAAAGAGAAGGGGAGGACAGTTAATTTCATATACGGGCATGGATAATGAAGAACATGTATTAATGATGAACTATTAACCTTCGAAGTCAGCTGCCCTTTTCCATCACGACTAGTGCCACACGTCTCATTGATGAAAGAAACAAAGTCATCTAGATCTCTGCCACCATTGTAGTCTTCACCGGATTTGTTGTTCTTTGGAAAGAACTTCAACGTTGGATACCCACTTACTCCATATCTGCAATTAAAGGCCTTTAACATCCATTGCTACATTCCATAAACGTTTAGAAACCATTTATTAAGGAACACTGAGCTAACTGGATAAGTTTGCATACTTTTCAGCTAGATCCTTGTGCTTGTCAGCATCTAGATTAGCTATCACAACATCTTCTTCCGTTTTGAACGCTGTTACTACCTTTTCATAGGTCTGCAGAGACATGACCAAAGGGTTAGAAACGAGATAATTTCTGTCAAAATAATAATATAACTGCTTCATTCAGCAAAGATATAGATGCTTACAGGAGCAAGGTTTTTTACAGTGGCCACACCTCGCAGAAAACCAACCCAAGACTCAATCAAAACACATTAAGTAGAAAAGATAGAAGCAAAAGAATATCAACAGAAAAACTTGATACACATATCATGAGGTCTTTAAACAGTGAACCTTTACGTTTTTTTGCAAAATAGTAATTTTTTTAAAAGAAGAAAAGAAGAAAAAAATCACATGCTTACCAAGGTGCATAAAACTCAACCAACACATCTTTGGTCTCATCAAATACAACCTGAGCAAAATTATCAGCATTTAGCACTACAACATTGGATGGCAAAGCGGCTATCTTCACATTGGTCCCTGTAAAACAACACGCGACCTTAGTAAATCTTTGGGGATGGGGATTCGGCATCAATCTACATTCAGCAAGTTCAACTTGTGAAACACAAAAGTAATAGCTTGAGACACAAGTTCTTAGAAAAAGCAACCACAACTAGAGCTTGTGCAAAGAAAAAAAAAAGACAAATTACCTCCTTCAGTATTTACAAACTCAGCAAGAGCCTCTGCAGTCCGTGGTCCTTCAAACCTAAATAAAACAGTTACAATCTAATAAGAACATGATTTTAATAGGATGATGATACCAATAATAAAACTTCACCTAAACCAAGATCAAAAGCTTTTCCGGGTTTTATTTTTACAAGTTAAATTAGCCTCACTTTTTAGGTTCCAAAGAGCCTTTAGGAAGCCACTGAATAGTTGGGTAGCCCTGAACACCATATTTGCTGCATACGCTCTTGTGCTCATCACAGTCTACCTACATCCACATTAACAAAAAAATTTCTAGCAAAACCCATAGAAAAATAGCAATAGCAAGAAAAAATTCATTATAGATAACTTTTCACAACTTAAAAAAAAAAAAAGAATACACAGGAATAACACACGAGCTGGCTAAGTATCCTGATTCTTAATAATTCATATACTAACAAACAAATATTGGGTAATTACAAATCCTAACCTTTCCAATCAAGACGGACTTAGCCTTCTTAAAACTTGCCCCAAGCTTCTCGTACTCGGGAGATAGCTTCTTACAGTGACCGTACCTGTTGTTGAAAAAACCCCGATTTTGTTGAGAGTACAGCTACCTGAAACCTCATTCCATGCCATAACAGAGTACCGGACAAATCAACCAATCCCGATTAATATCCAGAAGTGATACCACTTAGCTCATATGTCTTTCAAATAAATGAATAAATAACGAAATTCAAATACTTGAGAACAAAATCTACTTAAAAGGAACATCTTTAGCAACAATAGACTAATCTAGAGAAACTGATCCTAATCAAAAGGCGTCAAAAAACAATCAAACACACACACACACACACACAAACGTCAAAATGATAAGAGAACATCAAAGAAGTTCTCATTTAAATTGGCGAAGGCGAATCCAACGATCGATTGATTAGGAATTAATGTGAAACAACAACATAAAATATCAAAATCTAATCTAATAAATGAAATAAAAGAAAAGGACAAATAGGCGATAGAGAAATGAATACCAAGGAGCATAGAACTCGACGAGAGCTCCTCGATCTTGACCAACTTTCCCGTCGAAATTTTCTTCAGTTAGCACAACGACGTCGTCCGCCAGCGCTGATGCCAATAACAAGGCCAAAGTCCCAAACGCCAACCAGATCTGAGATTTCTCCATTTCCCTTTTCTATGTTTTGTTTCTAGCTTCCTCTACTTTCACCGTCTCCGGCTTCTATAACTATATTTATTATTTTCCCAGGCTTTACACTATTTAAGACGTATGGCTTCCCTTTCATATTTTTTATTTTATTTAATGTAAAAATATATTTGAAGAAATTAAATATTAAGATATGAACATTTAATATCACATGATTAAGATTTATTTTTAAATAAAAAATTTAAACTATTAAAATATTGGGCTAATTCTGATTGATAATAAAAATTCAATAATAAAGAATTAATTTGAATTGTAATTTTTATTTAATTTTATTACTTTATAATATAAAAAAATTATATCTAAAAATGATAAAGATAATTAAAAATATTATATTTAATTTAATTTAATTAAAAACTAATTTTAAAAAATATTTATAAAAAAGTTAAAAAATATAAAATAATCAAAAAAATAAAATTATTCTATAAAAATAAAACATAAATTTTTTTATTCAAAATTAATAATTAATAAAAAAATTATTAATAGATTTTTAATATATTTTTATTAAATTGTGATAATTACAATTTAATATATGTTTAAAGATAACTCACAATCATTTACTATTGAATATTCACATCTTTGATATTCATAGGGTTAGAACCAATGATTTCAATGAATAATAACAATTTTTTTAGTATTGAAATCGCTTGATTCGTATAAAATTTTTAACTCATGAATATATTTAAATTAAATATTTTTTGTTGGCTAGTTTGGTAGTAGTTGAAGTTTGACGATGTTGTTGCAAACTTTTGTTTGGAGAGGAACGTGATTTGTACGTTAGCGCATATTTTTACTATGGGGCCTAGTGTAGCGGATAGGATACTCTTGGTGCCTCTTGGTTAAATGACAAGGCATATTTTGTACGCTCGGCTATCGTGGAGACTTTCGGCTGGAAGTTTGCTTAAGCCCAAATTTCTTAATTTTGAAAAATTGGGATTTTGTGCGCATCATTAACCATAAACGTTTGATATCAAAGGATTTAGCACGTGGAAAAACTACAAATTTGTTTCTAGTTCAACAATATTAACATAAAGAGCATCATAGTCAAATATATCTTTTTATATTTATTTCATATAGGCACGATATAGAAGATATTCATATTTATCACTTAATTAAATAATGATATGTGCACGAACTAAGCGATCTCAATAATTAAGAAATTATTGTTATTTTTTAAGGTTATAAGTTCTAACATTAAATATGTAGGGATATGAATGTTGCGGAACTAGAAATTTATTAAAGTGGGATTAAGTATTTTTTATTTTTCATAAAAATAATTTTTTAATTAAGGGTGGTTGAGTAATTTTTTTTTATTTTTTTCATATATATATATATATATATATTAATATTAATTAATACTTAAAAAATTTGGCGGGTCAAGGCTTCTCTTGGCCCCTGTGAAGTTCCGCCCATGTGAATATTCAATGTCAAACGGTTGAGAGTATTTAAACAAATATTATATTGTATTCATATAAAACTAATAAAAAAATAAAAAATGATACGTTATCAAAATTTAATAGGTAAATTACATCCATCATCTATTAATTATATGGAATTCAAATTGGATTTTTAGTTTTTTTAATTTTATCAATCAAATAGTTTAATTATTTAATGATGTAAATTAAACCGATTATATTTAATATTTAACCAATAAATTGACGTTACGTGTAACAATATTAATATGATTACTCACTTAATCTTTATTATAAATTATGTTTAAACTTTAAGTTTGAAATTTATAAATTTAAGATTAAAATAAAGGTTAAAGTACACAAATAGTTATTGACTATGAAGTATTACTTTATTGAAATTTTCGACTATTAAAAGTTATAAAATAGTATTCGAACTATAAGATGTTATTTTGTTTAGTCTTCCGATTATTAGAAGTTACAAAATAGTCTCTCAACTATTCATATGTTCAAAACTCGCCCTTTTCTACTAAAAAATTATCGATAATCTGAGTTGGATGTTAACATACTGACTATGATATAATAAAATCATATTGTTAATATCTACTGACATCGTCCTTGCTTTTAAGTATTGACTCGATGACATAATGTTTTAAGCACTAACTCAACAACATAATTTAAACGAAGAGTCAGTCCACAAAATATAGCTCAAACGTTCTAGGTCATATTTTATTATATCACACTCAACATGTTAACATTTACCTCATATGATCGTAAACTTTTTAACGATAAATGACGAGTTTAGAAGATATGAATAGTCGAGTGATCATTTTTTAACTTTTAATAATAGGAGAACTCAAGAAAAATATCGTCCTATAATCAAATAATTATTTTATAATAGTTAAGAAACTCTACAAAAGAGAGGTCATTTATGTATTTTATAATAAAATAAATGGCATGAAAACAATTTTATAATATAGTTCAATTGGGTCAAGCTTAAAACTTTGCTCAGTCCTAACTACTAACCATGGGAATACGAATAACCACGTGGAAAAAAGAAGAAAAAATCACGTGGCCAGTATATTGGAAGAAACAAAAAAAAAAAAGGCTTACGATCATAGGCTTGTTTTCTGTTGAAAAAGTTTGCCACAGTTTGCTCTCGAAGCCCAGTTTCGAAGCACCTAACTGAAAAAACGATCCATTTAAATTGAAAAAGCTGCCTCAATCCATCTCCCATTCTCTCACGCACAAATTAAGTGTTCTACATTTGGAATCGAAGATCTGATAAGCATTTTTAAACATTCGTTGAGTTTCGCAGAGATCCACTTTCTCTACTGATCTCAAATTCATGGCGCGTCCAGGAACGAAGCAACTCTTTCTGTTATTCACTTTGTCTTACGCGATCTTCGCCGTTGCAGGGTACGCCGTTGTGTCTCTCCGTCTCTGCATTTCCAAAAAGAACTTCGTTTTTTTTTGTGAGCGTGAGAGAATGTGGTGATTACTGTATTTGATGCAGGAAGAGTTATTACGATATATTGCAAGTGCCGAAAGGAGCATCGGATGAGCTGATCAAAAGAGCGTATAGGAAGTTGGCATTGAAGTATCATCCTGATAAGAATCCCGGTAATGAAGAGGCCAATAAGCGATTTGCGGATATCAGCAATGGTGAAATTTCTCGTTCTTTATTTAATTTTTTTTTTGTTTGGGGTGGGGGGTGGGGGTGAGGATTGTTTTGATTGATGGAATTAATTTGTATTATGAATGATTAGCTTATGAAGTATTGTCCAATAGCGAAAAGAGGGGCATATATGATAGGTATGGAGAGGAGGGCCTGAAGCAACATGCTGCCAGTGGAGGCGGAGGAGGAATGGGGGTTAATATGCACGATATTTTTAGCTCGTAAGATTTTTGAAAATTTCGTTCTTCTATTTAAATCGCATTGCGTTATCTTGCTGATAGATATATATAGCAGTAATTGAAATTCTATGGTAAGTTAATTATACTCACTATTCAGCATATTAATGCATCTCAGGTGTGTCACAACTTTAGGTTCCCTATAGTGGAAGATAACCTCTATTTTATTGGTGATAATGTAGGAATTATAAAAAAAAAAGTTTAGTTATTGACTTGTATTTGGTATATAGCGTACATTATTAATCATTTTACCTTTAAGAACAGTCTACTTGATCCTACATTCACTTAGTTTATAGGTAGCTAGCCATAGTTTTTTGTTCACTTTTTTTTTTATGTTACTTCATTCCAACTCCTTATTGCTGACAAGATAAAGCTGTCCTTCAGGTTTTTTGGAGGGGGCAAGATGGAAGAGGAAGAGAGAATTCTGAAGGGTGATGATGTAATTGTCGAATTGAAGGCAACACTGGAAGATATGTACATGGGAGGCACTCTTAAGGTGAGAAGTTGTGTCCTCTGGGATTTGTTATCTTTAAGCCAAATCTAGTTACTGAAATGCTTTTGGTCATCTTAAGTAGTGTGAACTCCATGATTTGGGTGCATTATGCTTGTACCTAATCAATGAATTAATGTCTTTGATAAGTTGGCTAATGGCTATTCTATGTACATCAATGTGAATGTATGCATATTATATAGCCTTTTAACTTGGCATTTAGGCAGCAGGTTTGTAAGTCAAAAATCACATTTACCATTATACCTATGCTTTCTCTATACATTTGTTGAAACATCATATTGTGATAGTTACATAAAAATTTCGCAGAGGAACTTCACCACGCTTGTGTGTTTTTGTGTAATTGCAAATGGCAAAGTTAGATTCTCTTCCTCAAAGCTAATTGCCTATCAGCTATACAACATCATAGGGTATGGTATGATGCATAGCAAGCCATGTTATGCTCAGTCCTAGCTCATCTAGAGTTCTCCTTGTCTGCCTTGTTAAAGTTGCTCTCTGAAGTGCAAAAGAACTGTTAGATATCATTTGGAATAGCAATTTTACTTGGCGAATTTTCATTTTGTTTAACAGTTTTGTGGTTTTCTAGGAAGCTAGTGAATCAATAATTATATATAGATTATCATGAAATGATGATGATGGCGACGATGACGGATCTAGTAGCTAGGTGCTTGGCTCTCTATGCCCCTATCTGTGATCTTTCTCCTGAATACTCTTATAGAGAAGTAGCATTGATCTAGAAATCCCCAGGTTTGGAGGGAGAAAAACATCTTAAAGCCAGCTCCTGGTAAGCGACGGTGCAACTGCAGAAATGAGGTTCATCATAGGCAAATTGGTCCAGGGATGTTCCAACAGATGACCGAACAGGTATTATGGCTCTTTTGTTTTCTTTTTATTTGATATTATCATATGCGATTCTATCCTTTATCTTGTTTCTGGAGCCTTTTACAGTGGCCAAATAGTCATGTAGTATGTTGCTTTGGCGGAGCTTCTTATTCTCCAATCTTCCTTTCTCAGGTTTGTGAGCAGTGCCAAAATGTCAAATATGAACGAGAGGGGTATAATCTTACAGTTGATATCGAAAAAGGAATGCAAGATGGACAAGTATGTTGAATTAAAAAAATTTGTGATTGTTGTTTTCCTAAATAATGTTCAAATTTGTAGTCATGCTTAAAATCTAAGGAAAGTGAAAGAGGATAAACTATTATGCGAGATAAAAAGTTTATTTTATGCCAATTTCCGGTTGCAGAAAAAGATGTTAATACTTAATTGTACCACCATTCTTTTCTGTTCTTTCTTTTTTTATTTTTTAAATTTGAACTTTAGGATGCTCCTCTCCTCTTTATGCTAATCTGCTGATCTGGTTTGCTGAGTTTTGTTGGTGTGCCTTATTGTTTACACGCTGGAAAACGAAAGCATAGAACTGTACTTGTGTAAATTTTCTCTGAGAATCATTCTTGTCATGTGTAAATGGAACACATGATTTTTATGCAAATTTGCGTGTTCGACGATGCCAACAGAATTTCTTATCCCACACATCTATGGGGTGTCATGATTTTCATTCTCTTCTACTTTTACACTGCACAGTAGGAGTGGAATAGTAAGCTAATCATTCTTGTTGCTAGATTTCGAATAATGTTTCCTTTGCATTTTACAGGAGGTGGTATTTTATGAAGATGGCGAGCCTATAATTGATGGAGAACCTGGAGATTTGAAGGTTAATCTGAAAATAACGATTTCAAATTTTTTTTAACTCTCTTCCAGTTATAGTGCTACATACCGTTGTGCCAACTATGTCAATAGATTCTTTTTCAGTCCATAATCCTATGCAATCTTTAGTTAGTACATCCGAATTTGCTATTCTTGCTCGCATAATCGCATACGAGTAAGACTATTACATTTTCTACAGTTCCTCATTCGCACTGCACCCCATAACCGATTCAGAAGGGAAGGCAATGACTTGCACACCACTGTCACTATAACGCTTGTATGTCATTTTCTATGGTGTATGTAGATGATGTATCAACCTTTCATCTTCACTTTCATTTGAAATGGAAACTGTGGTAACTTTTGATTTGAACTTTACTTTCTCCAGGTTCAAGCTCTTGTTGGTTTTGAGAAGACCATTAAACATCTAGATGACCATTCAGTGGACATTGGCTCTAAGGTAAGCATGACATATCCTATGCTCATCTTGATAAAAAAAAAACTAACAAACGGCTCTCCGCCCACACCGGCTCAACTGTCCGGAGCCACCAGCTCCCACTTTGTGGAACAACAAAATCAAAATTAAATTTATTGGGGGAAATAAATTAGTATTTGCATATACAGGGTATTACTAAGCCCATGGAGGTGAGACAATTCAAAGGAGAAGGAATGCCATTGCATCTCAGCAAAAAGAAAGGTAATCTCTATGTTACACATGACGTTTTATTCCCTACGTCGCTGACTGTAGACCAGAAGTCCAAAATCAAAGAACTTCTTGCCTAGGAGTAGAGCATATGAAATTTCTTTCGACAAAGAAACTAGGGAAAAAAACTGGAGGGTTTCTGATTTTTCTTTCTTTCTATTTCATCCCACTTAAACAAAATGTCTTTGCACGCTAATACGTTAAATTATCTAGCAAATAGCAGTCGTGTATGCATTGAGAAAAAAATGTGGCATTTAGTACATAGTCAACAATGAATAATTCAGTTGTAATGGTTTTTTTGTTAAGCCATGCTTTTGCTTAATTGCTAAGTATTAATTTTATATTCTTACGGTATATTATTATATAAAAATACTTTTTTATTATTATTTATTTTATTGATTATATCTACTTTAAAATTTTATTTTTGTTTATTCATATAAAAAATTATTTATTTTATTAATATACGTGTATCCATCTTCAGAATATTGGAACCATCACTATCCCAAATCCCCACCTTCCCTGCCGTTAGCTTTCTGATTTGAAGACTCCTTACCAAAACTTTATTTTTGGTCGGTCTTAACCAAGACTTGCCTCTATTGGAATTTAAATAATACAAAATATATGGTAATGTGAAAGTAATTGGTACGTTTTATAGGAAAGTCTTAGATTAGCGATTTTGTCAACTACCTTTACAAGTGTCACGTAAAGAGATAGCTTTAATACAGCAACACTTCCTTTTTTTTTTTTTTATTTTATGGTTTGGTGAGCATCACTTAACAAATTCAATGAATATTGTCGATATAGATTGGGAATGGATAGTTTAGGACAGTTTATTTTAATAAAATAAAATTAAAAATTATTGAATATGACTATTAGGGGTGTTTGGATCAAGGAATGTGAGATTCTCATGGGAATGTAATTCACATTCCCATGTTTGGTTGGCTGAGAATCTCATTCCCGATAATATTTTATTACTAATAGTAGATTTTTTGGGTATATTACCGAGAATGTCATTATACATTTCTGTAGGTATTGTTGGATTACCGATATTTTGGACTAAAATGACCTTAAATTTATTTTTCAAAAATATCATTCTTTTATCGTTGAATAATAAAAATTCTACGAAGGTTAAATTACAAATTTATCCTTAAACTATTTTAGATTTATAAAAAAAATCTATAATTAAAATTTTATATGAAATTCAGGGGTTAAAATAAAATTTTACCTTTTCATTAAACCTTTTTATATTTTCAATTTTGTAAAAAATATATATAAATTTTATGAATTTAAATTTTTTAAAGAAAATATATAAATATTTTCCAACTTGTTAAAAAATAAATATATAATAAGGACAATTTGGTCAAATATACATTACAATAATTTTTTATTCCTTTAACCAAACACGATAATCTTACATTCCTGCTAAACCAACCAAACACAAAATACAACATTCCCAGTAATCCTATTCCCTGGTAATCTTACATTCACACTGGTAATCTTACATTCCATGAACCAAACGCACCCTTAGAGTAACTTGAGATAAAGAGAAACCTAGAAAAAAAAATTGTAAAGAGAATGAGTTCAGAGAAAAAAAAAGGTATAGATCATCTCAATCATTTATTCGAGTCTTTATATAGTTTAAGTTAAAAGTGAATATTCGATTGAGTTAAGTCAAGTTGAGTAAAAAAAAATTTAATTGAGTTGATGAGTATTATTTTATAACTCAAATTTTATTTGAAATTTCTTTGAATCGAATTAAGTTTATAAAATTCTAATCAAATCGAGTTATTCTATTTCTGTTTAAATTTAATTGTAAATATTTGTAATTACATGATATTAATTTATTCTAATTTAAATGACTTTCTATAATTATATACATTATATATATATATTTCTTCATATATATTTTGTCATATATTATATATGTGTATCATGTAGAGTTGATAGATTCGACTCAAATTTAAAAATCAATCTACTAATTACTAAAAATTTTAAGTTATTGGGATCATATTTTATAACTTAAACCTAATTTTTTTTAAAATCGAGTTGAATTTATAAAATTCTAAGTTAAATCGAATAAAAATTAGTTTTTTGAAATCAAATTTTACTTATCTCTATTTTAAGTCTCTATCTTATGTGATTTGACTATTTGGGATAGGTCAGTCCATGACAAGTATGAAGCGTAATTGGTTTGGATAGTTCAATATCATAATGAGGTCTAAATATATTTGTTGGTCGACGTTTAAGTTTGCTTTATCAAACAAGTGATTTGTTGGCTTTAATCTAGAGTTCATTAGAGTTCGTAGATGACTAAATGCTACATATTGTTGATGTGATTAGGTTCATCGTATAGTTTAATAATTTATGATGATTCTGAATTATTAAAATCAATACGTCATATAATAGTCACATATCAACTTAAATTAAATCTTAATTGGTAGAATTTTTTAAGGAAATTATATATTTTTTTAAATGTAAGAAAGACCTAAGTCATCTTATTAGATGGAGTTTATTCAAGTATGTAGAGGTCATAAAGATCTCTATGAAGAATACTATGCAAACAAGTAGGGATGAATCAAAAGCTGATAAATATTTGGGTGAGGAAGAGAAATCTTTGGCGATGCTATTGACTGCTTCATTAGCTTCACGTCGGATAAGAAGAATGTCAATAATCCATGCTTTTTTCAATATAGCAATAATGGTTCAAACTAAAGAGTAATGACTTTCAGATGAAGCATTCGATAAGAGTTTGTGAACATCGACACTATCGATTTAAAACGAGACTTTCTCAGATTATAGTTCATGCTAGTTTTAACCCTTCATAAACACCCCAAATTTCGATTTGAAATACCGTCAAAACATCAAGTTGCTTGTTGAATCCCAAGATAAAGTTGCCATCGTGATCTCTGAACACTCCGCCTGTTGAACCGAGACTGTCACTTGAGGAAACTGTCTGTATTGAAACTGAAACCTATCCAACTTTGCTGAGGAGGCTGCCATTGCGTGCTCTCTGCTCTAGAACTCCTTGGCGAAGATAACAGATTCGTGCTAGTGGTGTAGGGTTTTGCCCAGATTATACATATATATATATATATATTAATCCCCAATCATTAAAAATTTAAAATGAAGTCAAATTAAATGTTGTTGTTAGGGAGGACCAAACTTGAGACCCTTATAAAAAGGACCCAAAATCTTGTAATTAAACCAAGTTAGATAATTATTATATTACTACCAAAATTACTATTTAGGTTAAATTGTGTCATCACCTCAAAATCATAACATAATGCTACCAAAGAAGATCAAACTTGAGACATCTATAAAAAGATCCAACATTTAGCAACTAAATCATAATTCGGAGGTCTCCTACGGAAGTTGTTCTCAACCTAGTGTTGGGGGCAGCCTACTTTCTTACATCCCCTTACCCCATTACAAATGGGAACAAGGGACATCCATTTATTTAAATTCGCTACCTCAAAATTAATGTTATAAGTATTCTTTGCATTTGTTAATATTTTAATAAAATTTAATTAAAGGATTTTTTTACATTCAATTATATTGATGTATATGAGAATTAAATTTACAATGATTGTTATAAACATTTTTTAAAAAAATATTATTAAATTTAATATAAATTTTAAATGACAAAAAGGCATATGAGGTTCTTCTATTTAAATAAAATAATATTATCAATAATAACAACAATTAGATTAAATTATAAATTAATAGGATAAATTTAAGATTAGATATAATTAATTACAAATTAATTTTAAGTAACCTGACACAGATAAATGGTTTTGGTTTAGTGTTTGTAGCCACTTAACCATCTCTTGAAGGGCAGTCCTTGGTGGGCAGGGATGATCTAGTAGGTTTGGGAATGAATATTGATGAGGTTTGTCCCTTTGGCAACCAAGAAAAAGAATCAAGAGACCATTTCTTTTTAGCTGGTGACTTTGGCTAGATGTTTTGAAGCTTTGTCAGACTCATTGTAAGGTACATGAATACGTCAGAGGTATAGCACTCATCGCTCACATTCTTCGCATAACCTATAATCTACTTCTCACGGAAGAAGAGGTAGGGATGGATCGAGGAATTTGTAGAACGATCGTCTATCTCAATATTTTAAATTATTATATTGTATATTTATTTTTATTAATAATATGTTTTCGTTCCCTAAAATTTTAACATAAAATTATATATCCGCGTGCATGAAACAAGCCTTGGAGAAAATTAATTATGCTGCTCTAGCTTAAAAAAGAATAAGGAGACGATAGCAATTAAAGTTGCTAATCATAACTCTAGTCATGCTGCTGACATATTACTTTGGGCCTTAGATTTCGGAGAAAACAATCATAATTTAGTGTAAGATAGATCCTCAGCCCAAACCTGGAGTTTCTGTCAACTGGGGAACTAAACTAATCAAAAAAGGGCGTTGGAAGGTTTTCAGCGAATAGCAAAGCAAAGCAGTCTAAGATTTGAACTTCATTGGCTGTTGTTTCTCACTAATTAATCATTAAGATTTAATTTTTCTTTTCTTAAGCATCCGTTAACGTGAAGTATTCAGGGGATTGGGTGAAATACGTGATTATAACGTGAATAAACAAATGCAGACTCCGATCTTAATAAGAATATTTGAATAATAAAATGATGCTTTGAACAAAGTAAATCCCAGCTACTGGAAAAACAAAAGAAAGAAAAGAAAAAGATTGCAGCAGCACATGGACATGGTGGTATAGGTTCAGGTTTAGATGACGTTGTCTGTCACTGCCATCATCGTATCTGTCCACCGCTTCTCCTCTTTCCAATGTTCCCAACATTCAAACATCTCCTCGCTCTTATTTCTTCTTCTCTTACCATCAATTTAACATTGTTCTATGGCTGAAACCCTAACCAGAATTGATGCAAAACTCTCCCATCTCTTCACCCGCAACAATATAGAAAAGCAAACAGTATTAATGTAGATTAAAATAAACAATATTGTAATCGTAAATTATTTGTGGGTCGTTACTTTTACCAGTTTTTTTCCAAATTTTAAAGGAAAGAGTCAGGTTGTGACGTGGAGGGCATCTTTTTTTCCCCACTTTCTTTCACCCGACTCAGATTTTTATTGTTTCCTTTCTACTTCTTGTTTTTACAATATTTTAGAAT